GATTGTTTGGTATAGAAAGAGTTATTAAATGTATTCATATGAACCATAAATAATAAACTTTCAATCACATGATATCTGACAGTGTAAAACATTATAATATGCAAAGAATTGCTTGATGTTGATTTAACAATGGTGTGTAGTGTTGACCAATCACTGATATTGAAAGCAAAATACTGAAGTCACATTTGCCTAGTAAAGCCATCAACAACAACAATTACTGTTTTTGGTTTTGAGCTTTATTGAAAGGATATGTAAATAACTTTTGATGTGTAGAAATCCATGTACACATATTTTCACATAATCTAAGAGATCTTAAAAATGTTTTTCTGTTTATAAACCAAGATATAAATATGTGTTTTTAAACAAACTTATTGCCATTTTTAAATATCAGGTTTCTGGTGTACAAAAATTTAAAAATAAATTGTTCAAATTTTTTTTCTAAATTGATTTTACAGAATATATTGTTTACTGTCCAACTATACTCCAAGTTGTTTTATGGACAACATTGTGTCTTCCACTTACATGTTATGTCATATTATCACCATCTGTGTCACTGTACATTACCCTCTTCTTGAAGTGCCCACTCCTGGGATGAAGCAGCAACTCCAAGGGACCTCTACTGACTGTTCCCATTAACATTATTTTTAGATGAGCAAGATTCAGGCAAAGGTTCTCTGAAAAGTACATTTTGTAATGGAATGTGGCAGCCAAACGAGCCAAGAGAAACAGATGAAGATGTTGCCATTGCAAGCAACATGCAAGGCAGATGGGCTCTCACCTGGGTTTGGACTAACCTTCCTTTTGTTTGTAGGAAACCAGCTTGTCCAGTAGGTAAGACAATACAATTTTAATAACAACTTATGTTTGTCAATCTTGAAATATATAATGGAATGTGCTATTTCATCATTTTTGGGCACATGTCTGTCTTTCAGACAGTAGTGTTACATCACACTACAGTGGAAAGAGAAAAATAAAGGGGGGGGGGGGTGAAGGCAAATGAATCACAGCCCACGGCAATGGTGAGTGTTACTAGAAAACTCACCTTCCTCTTTTATAAAGAACAAGGCCTGTGGGGTATAACAGAGACCATGTGCTGTCCATGCAAGATGATTCCTCGCTTGCCTACCTTGTTTACTCAAATGAAAGGTAACACCAATATTTGGGACAAAGCACATTGTAGAAAACAACTGGCTTTTAAGATTGTGATGTGTCAGTCTGCTTTGGTTTATTCAGTAAAACTTAAAAACAAATTATCAACCTAATCATTATCTGCTATACTGATAAGCATATGTGATTTTGATTTGCGATATCACATGATTACTAGAATCATGGATCAGGTCAGCGTTCTTGTGATGCTTCATCTATGTGACCAAGATAACAAAGTACGCATTTTTTAGGTTTTTCCCTTGCTCTTTTTTAAAATAAAGTTTTCCAGCTGTCACTAAGATTATATATTCATTCTCTTATTTGCAAAGTTTTATTTATAAAGTAAAAATACATAACAAAATTTTCTTAAGAACGGTTTGTTTTTAAACCATATACTGTATATTTTAAATAATATGATATATCCGCCTGCATTTTTCCAGTGCGTTTTTTATTTATCATAAAATGTATGTCTTCAAATAAATACATTTATACATTAGCTTTTCTGTGTTGCTCCTACATTAGCTAATATGTAAGGTATACTGTAATACTTCCAATTTATTTTAAAACATTCACGGAACAAATTGAACAAGTCGTATTTATTGATATTTCTGCGTAACTCTTGTCGCCCGTCTAGTTTAATTCTTGTCCATTAGTTTAAAGAGTGTAAAATTTAATTACCTAATGTAGAATTGAATTGAATTCAACTGTACATTTCAAGGCTCCTTTCAGTGCAGTGATGGATCTTGTATAAACACAAGGTGGAAGTGTGATGGGGCTTATGACTGCAAGGACTCATCCGATGAGAATGACTGCAGTGGTAAGACTCTTTTCATTTAGTTGCTTTTGTAGTTAATAATGTAAGCTGATATTGTGTTGTGATGTTCAGCGTTACAATCGCCAAGCCCGACATTAACAACAAAAGGAAAAAAGAAAATCGAAACAAAAGAAATGAAATGTTTGTAATAGATTTGAATGACTCCAGTCGTCCAAATTAAATTACATATATGCAGTTTAATTTGTAAGAGCAGCCTAGTGATCCACATGCAACGTTGTTGAAAACATCTCTATCATAAGGTTTGAAAACCTCCCTTAAAATAGATATGCTGAACTCTAATAAAAGCTAGGCTTGCGCGAAAATTGGCCCAATGACGATCTGAACAAGTAACTTGCTTATTATTTTCAAATTGCTGACTAAATAGCCAGGTAAATTCACAGCCACCAGTCCAGCTATGAAGCAAACAGACTGTCACATATCACTCCTGTCACGTGCCTGATGTAAGGATTTCTCCTTCAGAACCAACAGCACTCAGAAATAATTATGTTGAGTCGTTTGGCTCGTATTGGTCTAAGGGATTCCCCGTGGCCAATATACGCTCAACTTATTTCTGGAGTAGGGCAACTCAAGTATTGGCACTACAAAATATATCTGTATATGAATACAATATTTCTAGGCACACTTGGCTGGACACCCCCACTACTTACTAAAGAAAGCCCCAAGGTTATGATAGTTCATTATCATAACCATGTTCACACATATAGTTAAGATTCATACACACACAAATGCTAAACACTTAAAAGGATGAAATAGAGACACCTAAGTCAGCCATGAAAATGAATGCATGTAATCATTACAACCTATACATATATAAAATAGTGAAGTAGATGCCCGATCTCAATAGCTGGATTCCAGAATGCAAAGTCCAAAGTATAAAGATACCCTAACAGCCAGAAGGTCCTTGAGATAACGCATTGTCATCCTTGGGAAACATGGGAGCTGTGAGGAATATAGCAAAACATGGTATCAACTGGCACTTATCCTCTTTCTATCGTTGATGCTTCCCTCAGCTCCTGATGATTCCACTGTCTTTGGTGACTCTGCCTCAACTGGATCAGATGGTGGAGAAATACCTCACCATAAAGGACACAGCAACTGGATAGGCACACAGCACTTTCTAACACAAGTCAGTTCACCATACTGTCCCTCAGCTACACCAAGCTCTGGTACTGTTAGACTGTTTGGGGTATATGGCACCCCAAACTGGCGTCAGTCTTTACAACTGGTAGTTGGGTGATAATTGGTAGGTAATAGGTTGATTGATTGATGGTTGGTGGGGTTTGGTTGGACTGTGATTCTTCTGCCCGCTCTTCACAAAGGTTTCATCCCAAGCATAGGAAAAGTCCCCGACATTACAGATCGCCTTCTGAAAGTGAAATTTTCTGGCGTCGATGCACACATCTGAACGCTTGGAAGCCGGCTAAAAGAATGGCGCAAAATTCGCACTTTAGGCGTTGGTAGAAAGGAGTTCCCTGTATACAGGAACAAGGAGTAAATCGGTTTCTAATAAACCTCAAATAACTCTAGTAATATTTATCCAATAGTTGCACATTTGAAATTGACGTTAAGTCAACTAGAAGATGCAGACATTATAATTTTGTCCAATAAAGGCATATATCGATATAAGGGACTATATACCTTCCCGGACGAGTCCAAGTTTGAATGTTGTCTCGAATACAGGTAAGTCAAGTTACCAGTCTTTAGGACTGATGTGTAATGGCTTATCATTCCACGACACAGACTGACTCGCGCAAAGCTAGATTCACGATTCTGCAGAACTAAGTTCACACCAGACCTTCGTTGCCTAGCTACGTGGTAAACATGCGTGAGACTTGTCACCAGATGTCACCTAGTATAGCCATGAAACAAGAAACAACTGAATGTCACAAATTAAACTTTTCATCTATAGAAATTAGGTTGGAAAAACTTTCAAGAACATTTTAAAGGGGAAAGCAACAAAGTTACACAATTGAAAAAACTAAACATGTGACAGTTCTGACACCTCTTTACGCCTTGAGGATGTTCAGAACTTGTTTAAGCACTTTTCCTGGGACAATGATTCCAGGATTAGTTATAGGCTGAACAGGCCAGTAACATGCACCTAGGACTTGATGGCCATTTAGACATGACACATTCTATTACGAATCCTAAAAGTAATAAGATCGGACTGGGTCAGAAGTGTGATATCAGGAACCAAGTTGGGATCGAACCAAAGTTAAATCACATCAGTGACAACAAATCAAATGATTCAGACATGTGTCAAGACTTTTACAACTGCACTACAGAGAGCCCTGTCACTTAAATACAACAGTAGCAGATCTAGAGGTTGTCCATGGAAACAGTAGATAGATGCAGTATTCACGGATGTGAATACCAGCATATATCTAAAAAAACACCAATATGCACATCATATGCCTTCTCAAAACCTGACACTGAGAGGCGGATCAAAACTAGAGAGAAGAAAAAGAAAGATATTCTGTTATTAGTTATGATATAGGCAGGCTTCATGCGATTTTGTGTTCTTTGTTTCCCTAATGTCATTGTACATGTTTTATATGCACAACCGTTTGTATTTCTCGCTTGTATTTAAAAAAATCCTCATTTAAAAGAATGTTCTCCGTGAAAAAGTCCTTCTTCCTCTACTTCTGTGTTCACCCGTAAAGGGATATTAAGATGTTGTGTTGCGATTATAGTTTTGTAATATCTTCGCCTTTTCGCCCAGCATATCTGATCTCAGCAAATCTTTATTTATTTGTCTTCTATGACTTGCTTATTGAGAAGCAGTGGTTCTCTCTCCCCCACCCCCCCCCCCCCCAAACCACCCCCCTCACCCCACCCCAAACCACCCCCACCCCAAGAAAAAAATACTCAATAATCCACATTGGAAAAACTTTTCTTTTATATAAAGGAAATCACAATTCAGGATATTAGACTTTATGGCCATTTTTTTTTTTTTAATCTGAATTTAGATGGTGTTAAATACTACAAAAATAGCACAGGAACTGTTGACACCAGCAACATGGCTGCGGATGGGGACTTTTATCAGTGGATCATTGAAGGCCAACCTGGAGAAGTACTTAAAATTGAGGTCAGTATTTGTTTGAGTTATTTGAAATTAGGTTGATCTTACACTTTTCTATGCTGTTAGTTCAGTTTTATTTTGGTGCTGAAAATGTTTTTATCTTGATGCATTGCTAGCAGAACCAATAAACTGATAGTGAATACTGAGTTCTTAGTGATTTAAGGATAAGTTTATTAGTTAGTCCACTGGTTATCCTGGTTGTACATTGAAACATTTTGTCCATAAATGCTTGGATTCCCTCGTCAGTAAATGTAAAAGCGAATAGATTCTAACGACACCAGTACTGTGGCTGTTTCTTATTCTTCTTTGGCCTCCTGCATAGTGATTTTGTCTGGCCACACACTTTAAACATGCTGCTCTCGCAGTCTAGTCATGGTTGCAGAATCAGTCATCACTTGGTTCTCGAACACGTTTTATTCCCGTAGAGCATTAAGTATATCAGCCCTTCACACTAGCTTTACCTTCAAGCCTACCAAGGTGCTAAATTTCCTTGCACGCATGTGTGCCCTGGCATGAAAATGAAACCGTTATGCGTCAGCTTCGACCGCCTTAGTCTCCAACCACTGTCTCTGGGCGAAGCCCATCTCTATCCTCCTGAGAATACTCACTGAGAGCCATGAGTCACTGAGAAATCATGCGTGGTCTGTGTCTTTAGACACGTTATTGCTTTGGCACTGCAATGATCTTCACAGTCAGACTACTTCAAGTCAAGTCCAAAGAACCAAACTTTGCTTCACAGTTCTAGCTCAAACCTGAGCCGTAAAGGCCTATGAACTTTCCACATGGCGAACCACAATCCTATCTGTGTAAATGACAACGTCCCCCTCTAGAGAATTCTTGAAAATCAAGGCATGTAGTTCTGCCCCCCACAGAGGCTGTACTTTGTTGTCTGCATTTTCTGTCTAGTAAAAAAACAAAAAAAAATAGAAAATGTTGTACTGTTGGTACTTGTACCCATAGCTCACAAGGTTTTATGTCCTCGGATGAACACAATTTCTGAATAATATCCCCGGCATGACCCATCCACAATTTTTCTCTTTATAATGAACTGCTTTTTCGTCCTAATTTCATAATACAGCGGCTGTCATGTGTCTGCGTTGACTTCAAGGTAGGTTCGTGTTTTCTGTGCTTATCACAAATAATTTTAAACATCACATCCTGTCATTTACTGTCACACTTGAGAATCGTGACCTTTTGCTTGTGCTTCCTATATCTGCTTTTCTCCTTTGGTATGCTGCAGGAGTGGTGGTGGCTGCCATTGTACCCAAGGACACCCTATCTACTACACACCGAGTGAAGGAGAAACCTGTTGAAAAAATTATTTTAACTTAGTAAAAAGAAAGTTACTGCTGTCTATCAAGCCAACACTCACCCCCCCCCCCTCCCCACAAATAAAAAACACAAATCTTCTTTAAATTTAAATGTTTATACATTATTATAGAGGGACAAATGGTCTTTATGACTGTATTGTCTGTAGTCTAGGCTGTACTTGCTTAATAGGGAAGTCCATGATTTGAATTGTTTCTAAAATGCATAAAATTAATTTCTTTACTTTTAATATATAAATTTGTGTGTGTGGTGTGTGTGTGCGTGTGTTGTCTGTCTGCCTGTCTTGTCAGGCACTAATATAATGTTTCTTCAGACCATGGTTAATCACCTTTATGGTAAAACTCAACAGCTCTTTGCCATGTTGGTAACTCTTCTTGGTTTGCTCCTAGGCATGTTCTGTTTCCGTACTGAACAGTAAGAGTGATGGATGAAAGAAGTCATTTTCATTTTACTGGTTTATTAACCGTTCCCCCACAACTAACAAAATCATTTTAACTTTTCTATAACATTATGTAGTTTGTGTGCTAAAAATAGGTACAAGGTAATTTCATGGGAGGTAAAGATGGCTAGCACATTGCTGACCACATTATCTGTTGGATACTGACTGATTTACAAAAATATATAGTCTAACATTATATACCTGACGCCCTTAAAGACATGAAATAGGTATTTAATCCCCCCCCCCCCCACTTATTGTTGTAAATTAATTATATCTAGTATCAGTATTTTTGTTTTTAAACTAGTTTGATGCACTGACAATTGAAGACCACATGGAAAATGTCAGGGTGTACTCGGGAGGACCTTCTATTGTGACCAGTGACTTGATCCAAGACATCAGAAACAAGCTTATCCCAGAAGATCTCACTGTTTAGCAAAAACCACTTTGTGATTGTCACACTGCAGTCATTTACAAAAAGTAGACATCCGATTGTTAAATTTAATTGGAAACCAGGTAATACATGCAAGGATACCATCAAATTACTAGTATTATTACTAGTATTATTTTTATTATTATTATTATGGACACATGTTTTATATATGACACGTCTTTCTATCACAGCACTCCAGGCATATCATTAAACGATCTGTTCCCATCTTCAGCAGCCAATGTAGTTTCAATACTATTGGTGCCAGTAGCAGTCTGATTATAATCAGATACAATTATTTACCCTGCTTGCCCAGCATGCCAGTCACAATTAGTCTGCAGAATCTTTCCATGTGGAAAATGAGTACACCCACTACCCCTTAGTAAGTTGGTAAAAGTGACCAACTAGGGATTAGCTGAAATTCAATGTGCTGAGATGCTGATATTGCAGCCTAGCTGTAAACCACAATATGCTCTTTTTAAGACGAGAACAGAAACATAATTTTTGAACAATCTAATAATGCACAGAAATAAGTCTTAAAGTTAAGCTTGTTACAAATGTTTATTAGAAAAAGTGAGCCAAGGTAGAAGATAGCATTATTGTAGGTTGCTCAATTGTCCTAGATTTAAATCTAAATCGAGGCAGAATTTTTAAATATAACTTGCTCTTCCAGCTTGTCCAAGTCACAGATGGATACAAGAAAGTGACTTTGTAGTAACAACAGCTTTCACAGCATAAATGCAATGATTATTCCAACTTTAGGTTACCAGTGTCAAACTTGTGCATTAACCAAAGAACCTGAGAGAAACTACCTGTGAAATCAGGGAAAAGTATTGAACAATCACTCATAACAATAACTGACAAAAGATTGCACACATTAGGTAACGTTTTCAAAAGCAATCAGAATATCAGAGTGCAGATTTAAAAAAAAAAACATAAAACATATACTTCTCTTTAGAGAAATATGAAAAAAATGAAATGCAGGTTCATTAAGTATTTGGTATTTTAAACACTGTGTAATAAAGTCGCTATACTGTTGTGATCACACCTTTCATGGCCCAGTCGAAGCTTTCAACTCAGGAAGGAATTGAACCCCCTCATAAAAAAAGATAGTATGCTCGCACACAAAAGCCACTGGAAACTGGTACGTGCTTGACCTATAAATAGTTGCAGCATCCTGGCACGAATCAAACTACCAGACGACATCTTTTTGTGCAGCGTAATTAAGTAATTACAGAGACAATAGATTCTTCTTCTTCTTTCGTTCGCTTGAAATAGATTAGCTAGCTTTATTTGCAGTGCTCTTTCTAGTATAAACTTCATTTTTTGTGTGTGTAATTCACTCAGCGACCCTAACGTTTGGCTGGCACCGGTATTTCACTTTCCCAAAAGTTATGCATTGATGTGCTGTGTTTGGGACAGTCTTGGAGGAAGTGATCTGTTACCTTAGGTGCCAATCCACTTGTGCACACAACTGATTCACCGATTTTAAGTTGTGTTTATACGTGGCTGTGAAGTCGACTGTGTCCTGTTCTAAGGCGTAGAATAATAACTTGCTTTGGTCTGTTCATAATATGGTAGTCGTCTTGGTGGCTTTTTGATTGATTTTTTTATTCTCTTCTTTAGATTCAATTAATTTTTGTCAGACAAGGGACGACGCCCAGCTGTGTGTGACACGTATTGTACTCTAATTGTCAGTAAACGGTACAATAAAGTGTCAAAATTCCCAGACGGAAAATAGTTAAGTCCAATCTCGTTGGCTCCTGAAATATCAGTGAGTTTACATAGCAACAAATATAGAGTAATGGAAGAGAAAATAACATCTTGAGAAAGTTTGCAGAGGACACACAGTTTGCAGGACACGGTTAGTTGCAGTGTTGGGAAGCAATATGGTTTTGGCCAACAGACCAGTTAACAGGAGAGACAGACAGTTGTATGTCTGTAACTGAAACTATACAGCAAACAACGAAATGTGGATGAATTGTGAGGAAGCATAATGGACTAACCGACACCTAAGCCAGATAGGACATGCTTGAGAATAGTCATAAAGGAAAGGATCTTTTGGATGATTTTCTTAGAAGTTCTTTAGAGGTGAAGGAATTTCTTTTTGTGTGTTGTGCAGAGATAGTATGAAGGTGCGTTTACTATAGCATTTTGTGGCACCGGAATTAGGGGCGTCTATATCTTCATTTTATGATTTTTGAGTGTTAGTAGTGAAGCCTTAAGATTCAAGAGGACATGAACAGTTGGTATTACCGTGTGTATTATTCTGCAAGATTATGGTTATTCTAGAGATTAAAGAAATAAATATAAACTTATTAATGCAGAAGTGAATCACGGCTTGATATTGCTGCGTTATAATTAGCACCAGTTATGCTTTAGTCAAGAGGGCTGGACTGAATGTAGGGCACTCATGGCCAGTTGGGCGTGACTGTTGAACGTGCGGTCATATATAGGCATATACTACTGCAACTGTTGTATTGATTTTGATTATAATGACAGAGCATAAAATGTAGGGGTTTAATTTTTTTCTTTTAACTGTCACAAGAGAACTTTGCATTCTGCTTTTATGTAAAATTTGTTACAGACACAGAAGCATCCTGGAAACAAGTCAACATTGTGGATGTAACAAATGAAGCCAGCTACATCTCCTCCCCATATTACGATTCCTCAATGGCTCCTGTAAGCTTCAAAAGAGAGTGGCTATTGAATGCACCTGAAGGAGAACTCATCACTTTGGAGGTAATTTAGTGTAAGCAATCTTACCGGTGTTCTGTAACAGTTCCTTTTCCTATCACTTTATATATTCATAATGTTATGTTAAGAAATTCAATGCCTCTGCTTTAAAAAGTTCATAGAATATGTGTTTTGTGAAGAAATACGGGACAATGCAATTATTTACACTACATTTCCTTTAAAACGGTTTCATTTGGCCACTATGCACTTTTGCCAACCTTTATACAGTTGTTGGAAAAATTCCTGGAACCAATTCTTTCACACATCTTTCAGCTGCTTTATTGCATCGTCTGAAAACTTCCTCAGCATCCTCGAATTGCTGCCCTTACAGTGTTGATTTTAGGTGTGGGAACAAGAAAATAGCACCCCTTGCCAAATAAAGAAATTATAAAGGAACGAACGAATGAACAAACAAACTTTATTTTCAAAGGGTTACAAATATTCAAGGAGTCACATTATGCTTTTCGAGGTACAGCTCCACAACTACTGAACGATGTGTTCGCGCATTGTCTTGCAACAGTAACCGTTTGTTCTCTATTTTTTAGGTCGTCTCTGCTGATTGCTTCTCTTAGGGACTTAGATTAGAATATTAACGAACATTTTACTATTAACTGTTCAGGAATGAAATTAAGGTAGACAGTACCCCAGCAAAAAATATAATAAACATAGATATTGCACTTTTCCAAACGAAATTTCAGTGTCTGGGGAGACGAGGGTGATTTTCATTCACTAGGTCGATGTTTTGTCAGAGAATCATTCAAGAAACACCATGTCTCGTCTCCTGTGATTATATTGCTGAGAAAATTGCTATGTTGGTCAGTCATATTGATTACGTCTCTTGCCAGTGTCATTCTGGTTTTTTTGTTTTTGTTTCGGAAATAACATTTGGTAACCATGTGTTGACAAAGACGATGCATGTGCAGTTCAGAATACTGTGGCAACATCAGCTGATACTCTAACTTTTGATACTGTTTTCTTGACAACTCTTCTGTCAGCACTAACAGCGTTCCAAATACGCTCAATGTTTTCACTGTGTATCGTAATAGGCTGTTGTCTAGTATGTTTACCATCATATCCACCAACCGATTATGCAAAAACCTAACAGAGACGTGTTTAAAATGCGCAAAGTGTATGTTCTAAACTTATCTTTATAAAACAGTGAATGATAAAATAATATGGGTTCTCTTCTGTTATGCGATGACATCATGCGAGATTTAGGGGAATCTCATAGGGAAAGAAAAGGGGGGGGGGGGGTAGTATTAAATGTAACAACTATTACTAGACCGAACCCAAAACCCCTACACTTTGGGATTTACCTTGATCTCGCTTTATGTGGTCGCTTAACAGGTTATAATCTTATTTGAAAAAATGTAACGTAAAATTAAGTAATAAAATCCTGAAAGAAAAAAAGATTGTTATTTGGACGTTGTAAGGTAGAGTGACTCCATTGTTTCGTGCAACTGGCATTCATTTATGAACCCTCCCCCCTCCCCTTCCAAAAGACAAAAAAAAACACGTTCAACCAACTGTGAGCAGTATCGGTTAAAATTGTGCTCAGTTTTTTGTGTGGCAATTATGTTGGCTAAGAAATGTTAATTGCACCAAAACTAGTGGCTTGGACTGGTACTCTAGTACCTAGCGAGGGTTGTTGATTGGCAATGATCCACGGTCCACTTGCTAGGACTCAGTGGGCACCTAAATGCCCCCGAGACCTGTGATGTCAATTCTTAGTTCAACACTCAACTCTTAACATTGTCTGTTTGAGTGTTTGTATACATTAGTAATTTTAACGACGTAGACTTTTTCCTTGAAAACTAAACTGATCCCATTGGGTAGATAAATTGCCATCTTCACGATAAAGGTTAATAGAAGTCAGGCTCTTGAGAAAACTGTTTTACATGTCATACATTTTGCTTTTGTTGAATTATCTGCATTTTTACACATATTTCTACTTATTATCATTGGCTGTTGTAACAGGTACTTGACAGCACTATGGAGTTAAATGGCAGTTCTGACTTTTACATTGTGACCAATGTGGGATTTGTTCTCAAGGAACTGAATTCACATAAGGCTATCTACATGTCCAGCAAAAATAACATGTCTTTGATTGTCAAAACAAGGTCCTTACAGAAACATTTTCAGTTCAATGCCAGTTTCAGAAAAGGTAATGCAACTAAAATAAATTAAAATGTGCCTCTTTGCACATAAATTATGCTTTAGATTTTATCTTGTGTTACTGCGGTCAACCTTCTATTGTTACAGTAAAACAAATCATTACATGTTTGCCTTTACTGATTATTTTTTTCTTTGAAGTTTAGCATGGTTACTGGTAATTGTTTATCGGAAGTCATAATTATTGGTAATACTTGGAAGAAAGGAAAAGAAATGGATTGTGTCTATATGTGCAACAAAGTCGGGTATAGACAATTTGTTTGACTCCAGTATATAAATTTACATATCCAGACACATGAATACCATCATTTGAAAGATTTACAGCAAACATTACATCTTATTTGATGTCTTTTTCATAAGAGGGTAGAAGTGCACATTATTGCACGTTACACATAGTGGCATCATATGATTGTAAATCATTTTTTTTTTTAAATCCATAATTAGTTTTGAGCAATAATTTTGTGAGTCTGAGGTGGACACTATGATCGATGACTCCACCATTACACTTAACAACTTATAGAGTATAGGCCCTTTTCCAATTCTCTGCTATTAGTGCATATTGCTTTACGTCGTCAAAACTTATTAACTACTAAATTAAAGTTAAGGATTTAGAAAGAACCTATATTTGGATTTTAACAACAAAAATTCGCTATGTTAATCTCAATTATCATCGTCATCATCATCAAGTGCCTTGCCAGCGGGCGTTGACGTTCATACATCCCTACAAATTTCAGTCTTTGGTGTCCTGGATCAATTCCACTGATGACATTTCTACATGCGACTGTCTTAAGCCATCCAGCATCATGTCTCTTGGTCTGCCTCCGCCTCTTTAACCAATGGTCTTTCCAGTCATCACAATATTTTCCAGTGCTCCTTTTCTCATCACATGACCAATTTCCAGGCATGCATTGTTAGTTACTCTGGCAGTCCAAGGTATTTGTAATATTCTTCTCAAGAACCATATCCCATTTGAATTTCAATTATATCTACTCTAAAACATTTTTTAGTAAATTAAAAATTATGGATTTAGATGGAGCTATATTTTGGGGAGTAACAACAATTCACTATGTTAATTTTGATTATATGAATTTTTAAGTTTTCTTTTGCCTACTGAAAATTATGGATTGGACAGGACTTATATGTTGGAGTGTAACACATATTTACTGTGTTAAGTTTCAGTATTTCTTCTTTAAAATCTTCCTTAGTCAAGTGCTCTTTAATATATTACAATCTATCGAGAGTAACAATTAAGTTGCTGCTGACTGAAATGTTAACAAATATTTTCATTTCACTTTGCATTCTGAGGCTTTAATTATTTGTTTCATGAGGAAATAAGGTTTCGCAAATGTGTGCGTTATGTTGGCCCTACACTTCACCATGAACTTGGACACACTTACATATTAATTAGACTGTCACATTTAAATATGCTGCAACAGTTGTAGAAAACAGTGGTTTAAAACTAATATTTACATTATCATTATTGTCGCAGTCAGGTCATTGTAAGAGCGATGCTTGCTGATGGATGTAATGTCCTAAGTCCCTTCTCCAGCTAATAGTGAGGGTACTGCTGGGGCGACCATTTATTAACCCTCACATAGTGCTTCAGGTCAAAATGGACGCTAGGCATGGCAATTTGAAAAAATTTTTTTTTTTTTTAGCCGTGGCAAATGTTTTTTTTTTTTACTTCTGCCAGGCAGTGGCAGTCACATTTTTGCTCCATTTGTAGACTGGAAGCATATAGTTTCGTCGCCCAGCTTCTGAGTTGAGTGCATGGTGTGACACTGTGAGCTACGTGTGTTTTTCGTTGGCACAGGAGCGGAGCAACTATGGGGTGACCCGTTTGCTATGAAGCTGAAACTAGGATTACCAGATTACCAGTCGCAAAATTGTTTTATGTAAACCTTCTCTTAAATAATGTAACATAATACGTTAGTTTAACAAGATTTTTTACCATTTTTCAGGTTGTGATCTTGTCACAAAATTGTCTCTGGCAACATTTGCAGTGAAGAATTTGCCAGCAAACTCCTCATGTTTTTGGAAGGTGCAAAATGAAGTGGGCACAAATTTCAGTTTACAAATAATTGAAATAGCCGATGATGATTCTAGTGATACTCTTCAGGTCAGATAATATTTATATATTGTAATAAATATGGGAAAAAAATCAGTTACTTTAATTTCTGGCCTGTTTTTTAAGGAAAAAGGTAAGATATTTGTTTCTCTTTTTCACAGGTTTGTACACATTTTCATGTCTTAAATTGTATAGATCTTCTTGGGTAATTTTCTATTGCTGATTCAAAAAATTTAATCAGTCACTTCTATTTTTTTAGGGGGGATAACTAAGAATGAGCTTCTTTGTAGGGAAAAATTTTATGTACAAGCCTAGATTCGGGTGCTATCATCTGCATTGCGACTTTAATTTGTATTCATGTTATATATAATTATTGTGCATTTACCATCACATAAAACACTACAAAATACATTAACCCTTTCGCTGCTATGGACGTCTTTTCCCGATTTCCCGTACGCTGCTACGCCCGTCTTTGGACGTTATTTTTTTTCTTGACCCCCAGTGCTATGGACGTCCTAAGCCGTTTTTGGACTTTTCTTACAGATTTCTGTTACCTCGTATTTTATTGGCTGAAGGGCAATATACATTAACTATATTTAGATAAAACTGACCCATTTACATATGATTAAAAGCACTGGCACGTACTTTTAGGTGTGTTTAAGGTGTGTTTACTGCATTCTGCGTTATCCCGTTGCTTTGTTTACCGTGACAGCGTGGTCGGTGATCTGTGTATTTTGTGCCCTGATATATATTTGTGCTTTTGTATTATTCTAC